TATGTACTGTTCCTGACCACACGAGCTGATTGGCAGTTCCCCGCTTTAATTTAGGGTGTCACCAATGGCTAACAGAGCCACCTTGACAATAACCACGACATAATCAAAATTAGCTTTCATTGAGCATCACTTTTCAAGTCACTTTTTAAGTTTACTCAAAAATGAATTATTGCTTCTCTATAAATATAAGAATTCCTTCTTAACATAGCGTACATTTTAAGATTAACTGTTTAAATGATTATCGATTACAATACAACATAGCTTTATAAATAAAATAATTTCAATGAGCTGAAATGTATTTCTATTGCAAAATAAAAGCGGGCCCCGTCAGTTATTATCAGCAATCATTTTACTTCGTGGTAAACTCAAACACACAAATGCAATTCAGGCTAACAAACATTCGGTCAGAGACGAAACCTAAAGGTAGATGTAAAGAAGTACTTTTTTCTAAAGATCATCCTTCACTGCAGTGGGAAAGCACAGCTTGCCCTGAGAGCGCACTCTCAATCAGTCTGATACAAGTGCATCGAATGACCATAGTGGCATGTTCTAACATATTCTCTTAATAAACAAAACCCTGCTAGTGACAGTAGAGCAGATTGCATACATCTGTTGGGAATGGGACAGATGACAGAGGGAAAAAAAATGCATTTGTGTACCTTGGCAAGACGCAGGATTTTTGTTACGTTGCTCAGGCATACGGCAGCATGAGATTTTTTTTGGTTTGTTTATTAACCTTATTCTCAGCAGTACTGGCTAGATCTCACAGAGCACTTCTGCACAGGGTGACTGGACACTTAAATGCAAAGCTTTATGCAGGACACAAGACACAAACTGTCCCCTACTATAACGTTATTTCCATTTCTCGTGTATAATATTCTCAAAGAGTGACTTCATGATTATTAGCAATGTTATTAATTGCGTAATTTTGTGCGAGAAGCACTTAGCGATAGTCTGGTTGAATCTGAAACACGTGAGACCCCTCTCTTTTGTGAACACACTAAGTTTTCACATGAGTGTTATGTGTGGCACAAGCAGTAAAGGCTGGCTGTGTGCTTGCAGCCCTCACAGACAGGGAAAGACCCGGAATGCTGCTTCATTGACAAAGACAAATTACATTAGCTGGGAAATGTTTCAGTTTTGGCCTGTGTCAGACTCTACTACAGGACATGGGAGTCTGCAACTCGCCACGGTAAATGCCTTCTATATAAAAGAGCTGTGGATTTACATGTTCAAAATTTGAAATCTTTTAAATCACTGCAGGATTTCTTTTAAATGAAATCATATATTTTGAAGTGCCATAATAATTAACCTGCTTTATACAAAAACTGAAAAAAACATGGCATTAAACTGAAAATAAAACTAAAAATAAAATAAAGCCTAATTCCAAATTAATCACCTTGTAATCTGTAAGTACTAGACAGAAACATATGGACTCGACTACCACAACTAACTATGCCTGTTTATTTATCCTCTACCTTAGCCTGCCTCTATTCCCTGCTCCATCCATATTCCAAATAATCCAGTGAGGAAATCCTAAATTCTCATCCAGATGTTGAACTTTTTAATGTCTATTGGCTAGACCACAGCTGATGACATAAACCAACTGTGACTGGCCAAGAGGTCTCCCCTGCAAGACCACCCAGCACCAGGAGCTGCTCCTGCAGCTCAGGCCTGACAGATGACTGGCCCACCTTTACAGGCCATGTGTATAGAACTGCTTCTCACACTCTGCGATTCAGCATGCCCCAGCCCAACGCAAGGAACGAGTGCGGTCCCTCTCTCTCTCAATCCCTGAACTCTGCAAGTACAGCCCTGCTCTGTCTGCCCAATTTTCCAAGATGCATGACACTAGCTCTTTTAACATGACTCGCCAGACAGCCATATCTTTCAAGACTTTATACCGTTCTCCCTTTCCAAGAAAGATATTTTGCTCACACAAAGAAATACAATATGACACTGCTATGCAGAAAATATTATGTAGGCATATTCTGAAATGTACTTTACAATTACAATTAAACATCAAAGGCAGATATTCCACTGTGGTTTTTAAATACACTCATGAATAAAGTCTTCACAGTACCCTTCGATTTTTTTTCTCGGGATAAGTATTCTCATATTAACTTTTACATTTCTGAAGCAGATTCTATTTTTATTCCGTTTTATTTACACCAATATATGATTTACCATTCATGCATCCTCTAAGCATTTATTCTTCTCTACTTAAGAGTACTTTCAAGCAAGATACTAGAATACGGCATGACCTTCTGAACTGATCACAAAATGTTTTCACTTCCATGTACTTTACATGCCATTTTCTAAGCCTTTATTTAATCAATTCACATTTCACCGAAAAAAGTATTAAACAAAAAAGTCGCTATAATATGACCGGTGTTTCATTGCATGAAAAATGAGCTGATATAATTCTGCCAAAATCTGCAGTTGTAATGGAGTCACCTGCCTCCAAGGCTGGTTAAACGGAAGGAGAAATTTGCAGAAAAACAGAACAGAAGAAGGACACCAGCTGCACTACAGTATATTTAAATCACATGAAATCATGAAGTAACCTTTTTTTAGAAAGTCTAATAAAATACTTCCAGGTTGAAAAAGAAACATAAATGTAGCAATGCATTTAGAGTTTCTATGAGCAGAACTGTATAAACACTGTAAAGCAATTGGAACTATACAAAATCTTAAACCGACTGAATTAAAACAGTTACATTATTAATAAACAGCACAGACATAATTGTGTCAATCAAACAATTCTGAAAACATGTAACAAATTTCCAGCACAATCCTGCCTGCGTTAGACAGCAGAACTTCATCTTACAGACCAAAGATGCTACTTTGGGCCAGTGTACTGTTGGCAAGGTACGCAAGGCGATAGAACACCCCCGTCCTCGCTTTGGGCCAGAGCATGCCAATGCCATGTCTCAACAATCGGCTCAAGGTTCCAGCCAATCAGAGTGACACACGAACCACCTAATCCTTTTTGGCAAGCCACATAAGACCATGTTGTCATTGTTAGTTTTGTGAATCGACAGCGAAATCCAGAGTGAATTCCCACAGACGACAGGTCCCAGAAAACATGAAATTAAGCAGCACGTTACACTTGGTGTGACTCTGAGATTAGGCTGTTTGGCTGAGGTCCCCTGTGTAATCGTCGGTCCACACGCGGCATGTTCACCTCACATTTAAGGAGATTAAGCAAGAGCAAATCCTGCCACAGCAACAGGCATTCTGCACATGGGGAAAAATTAATAATAATTGACTATATTTCTTATTCAAAGGAAGTTCTGCCCTTTGGCAAATGTTTATTTAAAAATTCAACTAGGCATATGTCAAGATGAATCAAACACAACAAAGAATTTACAGTTTCTGTTTCAGATGGAGGGTAATTCAACCTATAACTAGCTTTATAAATCATGGGGTATAACTGTAAAAAATATATACTTTTTCTGCCTTTAGGAACCAGTGGAATTGTTCCTTCAGTTAATTTTTATGACAATCATATATGGATTGCATAAGTCAACAAGAAAAGCTCAGTAAAAAGCCAAAGATTGTGTTGTATAGAATTTACATTGTAATAAACGCAATAATTTTTTACAGGTGTATGCTTTTTCACAGCTATTCCATAACACAGTAAGCAGGTAAAATAAATCAAACGAAGTGAATAGATTCATGTTTCCAGAAGTGGCATTTTAACACACTAGAAATTACTAGAATTTGAGATTAAGGGGTAAAACTAGAATACAAGTGGTAATGTCTGTAAGTTATTGAAAAAAGTTTTACATTTTACGTATATTTATTATTATGGAACATTAAGACGATATTTGCCCAATGACTGCAGCAACATTTTATGTCAGATTTAGACCTGATACATTGCAAAGAGGTGATTCCTTATATTCAGCTTCACACAATAAATGAAACGTCCAGCTGTTTTTTTACATAGATATGAAATATATGTTGCACTGGAATCCTGACCATATGACCACCATAAGGATCAAATTTGTGTGAAGTAGTGCCAATAACTGAACACTTTACTTCGGTTAAGTTTCAAAATCTTTGCATTTACAAGAAAGTCAGTTTAATATCGTCAAAACAGCCTATTTATACACTCTTATTTTTCCCTCTTCTACCCACACCTCATACGCACGTAAGTTATGGAAAGTTTCTTTGAGCTACGTGCTAAGCAATAAAAATAATGGGGGGAAAAATTTAAATAAAAAATAAATAGATAGATAATAACGCCACGCTGCCAGATCGATACTGCCGGGTAACATGTGGTCGGCCTTAAACTGAAAGAAACTTTAAAGCTGTCTTTAAAAATGTAATATTCATGTATAATGTCCGAAAACATTCACCAATACTATTTCTAACACAACAAAGTATTGCGAAAATAATAGAATTTCTTTTAAGTGCTGCTATTCTGATAACACGTAAATACGCAAATAAAAATGTAAATTACTTCATACACAATACTGCGGCTTACACATCTACATAATAAATATTAGGCACATTGACATAAGGCAAAATGAAAAGATCATCTCATATCAGTGCTATTTTTAACAATAGCCAACTGTGTAGACATTACAACAGAGGCAAATATATTAACAGTTCAACAGCATTTTAATTGTCGGAATTAGTCTGGTCATTTAGGATAGTACATTTTTGTTGATTGGTAGTTGGAAAATTCAGAAAGGCAATATCTATTCTCCCGATGCCGGTTGTAGTTATGAGATAAACCTCTCCTGTTACGCTCACATAGTTCTTTTTATAGTTCCCTTAGTAGCTATTACATTAATGCCGGGTCTTTGTTCTCAAAACAGTTAATACATCTTTTTTTCATCAGGAAACATGTTTCATCACTAAACCCAGAGTTATCCACCAAGCAACCGAGTTTTTCCTTAACTCCAGCCAAAGCATGGCATTACATTCAGTACGCGACACGATATTACACCTGGAAACGGCCATGTATTGATTGCAGTAGTAACACTTACTTTATTATGCATGTGTTCTGTCCGTTAAAAGTCATCTACTTCAGCCGATTTTTTTTGTCTTGACTGGTGAAAGCCGACTGCTCTGGAGGACTTCGCGAAAAGTCACTTAAAATCCAAGACGACAAACGCAAAACGAAGCGCAATCTCACAATGGCAACGAAAGTAGACAGTCTTCTGTCTGACACGAAACCAAGTATAGTGTCTCTTAAGCAGATGGATGCGTGTGCTTTAGTCTTCTCTGGGGTTTGGGGGATAAAGGCAGGAAGGACTGAACTGAAAGTGACTGGTGATGATGTTGTTGAGGTTTGCTCCTGTTCTCTCCCACAATCCCAGCCGTGTCTCTCCCTCACCCTCCTCCAGTACGGATAGAAATAATCATTTTTGAAAGGGGCGGGCTCAGATCTCTCAAGTATTTTAATGAAAGAAGCATTGCCCTAATGCGTTTTTATCTCAAATCTCATTCTGCTACAGCGGGTAGGCAGTTGAAACTACCGATGTACTCTGCTGCATGCACGAAAAAATAATGAACTAGGTATACATATCTTCTCAATAAAAACACAGCCTGTTAGCCAACGTAAACCATGCTATTCTATTGTTAACTTGCAATATATTTCATTTTTTTTTAAAAGGGGAAGCTTTGCTTCTGAATCCTGTTTATTTCTTAATTTTATTTTACGATAGGCCTAGTTATAAACCCAGTTAAAATGTAAAGAAGTAAATAAGTGCAGTGCATATACGTAAGTAAGTGTGCTATATGTTCATATGTGTGTATGGATACATATTTGTGTATGTATATATGAATAAAGAATATGGACAACAAATAGCTGGTCATTTTGTAGGGAAGCATCAAATGAGTGCGTGAACTTATTCATTAATCAACATAATGCTCCAAACAGCAGCTGTACAATAACAGTTATATGAGTACACTGCTTTTGTGTAACTTTAATCCTAACCAGTGTTAATTTCAGCTTCTAAATGCTTGGGGATGTGACAGTTGTTTAAAAGTATTGTTTGAATTAAAGCTATAGCCTAATTGTCTTCATTCAGATAAACTATATTAGTAAAAGCTATAAAAGTCCAATAATAAGAACCATTATTATTATTATTATTATTATTATTATTATTATTATTATTATTATTATATCACAATATATGAATGTCACATTTCATATAACATATGGTCTTTAAAAGAGGGTTATGTGATTTTTTTTTTTACTGGATAGCAGTCTTTTGTTTTTTTTATTCAAAACGTAAATATACAGAGTAACACAGCTGCAGCCGTGTTCTACCCACCACCTTCACATTTCTCTCAGTTCAACTTCAACTTCAGAGCCTTCTGTCAAGTGTGTAGACTTGACGCTTTATCACAAGTGTCTTCACAGATCCCAGTGCTTCCTTGTTTGATTGGCACCTAAGTAAAAAAAAAAAAAAGATGGCAGCTATTTAGTTGGTATGTGTAGTCTTGGAATTTCTATATATGTATGAATACACGACGACATATACAAGTTGGGGCAGTCTGTGGCACAATGCTGGTACGGCCTCTGCAGCTGCGATTGGAAGGTTGCTGGATCACATCCCACGCTTGCCAGAACTGTTACATTGTTACTGGGCCCTTGAGCAAGATGCTTAACCATCCCACAAAATGCTCTAGGGGCATCAGATAAATGGTTGACCTTGTGGTTGGACCCCAACCCTCTCGCTCACCTGTCTGTGTGTGCATGTCTCAAAGGTGAGCATGATGGGAAATGTGAACATAAGCATTCCAGTATATATATGTACTCATACTCATTCAGTATGTCAGTATTGTCTTTCTACGATTCTTTATCAGTTTATGTCTTCATCAGAAAAATGCCACAAATTTCATGCCAGTGAGTGATGGGAGAATAATGATAGATAGTGAATAACTGTATAATAAGCTTGACAGAACTAGTGCGGCGTCACCGTGGCAACACTTTGTGCTTAACTTGAACACTACATATGATAATGTGACCCAAACATTATCACATGCACCTCAACTGAATAGGTATACCTAATTGGGAATAGGATTCCAATTGCAGTAAAAAAATAATACAGGTTGTTCGTGAGGAAATATTAGCATAAAATATACCATCTAGTAGATGCAGGTAGTTTATCAGGCAACAATTTTTAACAGTCTAGTTTTCTTGTTGAACGCAAAAAAATTAGCTGTATGAAAAAAGCGGCCCATTTTAAAAATGACAAATTTTCTGGTTAGACCTAAACAATGGATGTGTTTAATAAAGCATCCACTGTGCAAATTTGTTGAAGGCTTCATGGATGTGGTTTTGTTGTGTGGTTTTTCAGAAGGAGTCAGTCTGAGGAACATATGTTTTGTCTAGTGGATGTATTCAGTTTGTGACTAAGCCAGTACTTGGAACTGGCATCCTGACCCGGGTGTCTCATGTCTCACACTGCGTGCATCCTGGGTTTACAGTGACACTGTATGAGAGATTAATGATTATGGAAAATGGATGGATGGATGGATGGACATGTACTTTCTCTTCAATCATTAGTATTCTTGTAATACCATTGCTACATAACATCTAGCTCCTTTCCTTGTAATAAAAGCCCTACATGTAATTACATGTCCAGGTTCAAATGCATGCCATGTATTATCACCGAGTTTAACTCTATGCTAGACTGCATAGCCTTTGATTGACATTGGATGTTCACTGGAGCATTCATTTCACCAGAAATTTTGGAGAAAAATAACTTTTCTCCAAATTCTCAATTTTTCAAGTAAAGAAGTTTAACATGGAAAGCATGATAACAAAATTACTGCAAATAGACCATTTCCCATAGCCCTCTTCATTCCTCCTCTTATCCAACCCCACTCCAAGCTGCCTCTCACAAACAAGAGGCAAACAACCTCTCTCAAGGGAGTGCTTTCCGGTTAAATTTCCTCTGACACTGCCAAGTATGCATTGTAGATATTAGAAATTAAATCTTTGGCATGAATGGTTTACTAAGCTTCTTTCTAATAACTTTATTAAGGAAATTAAAGGCTATTAAAATCCGGTACAGTTTTCCAGGATGGTTTCTTATGGATAGTACAGGCCATATATAAATATCTTTAATGTTTATGAACTCAAACCAATAGCAAGACAAATATGGCAGCTGCTGCACCTGACACAACATTGCATCTTTTTAATCTGTTTATCAGATTGTTATTGGGGGGAAAATGATGCAACTGCACAATAATTTAAGTATAAATTAAATTATTAGTAGGACTTGAAATTTACTTTAAAATCTGGTTGTCACTGCTGATAATGTTGCAAATATATTCAGTCTTTAAAAAAATCTAACACCAAAGAAAAGTGAGATTTGTCTCCTGTTACGTAATGAATCCAGGTAGGTATTGTATCTCCTTGAATTGTTACTTGACACGACTGCACAGAAGCAGAAATAAAACTTCTTCAGATATAGTCATGCTTATCTATGTGTACGTGCATGCTTGGGTAGGAAAGAGTTTGAGTGCATATGTCTGTATCCATTAATGATTTATTGAATGAAATGAGTGAAGTTAGTAGATTTTTTTGAATACCCCTGTATAATATATATTTGTACAATTATTGTCACATCAGAAAGGGTCACTTTTCTTTCACCTCTGAATGAAAAGCTTATCCATTTCTTTGAAATTTCTCCCATTGGCACATTAAAACCAACAATTTAATATGTATACAGTACATAATTTCATATACATATTCATAATTTCACATATCAGCAAGTAAAAGAGAAGGCAATTATTCTGTATAATGACATAATACTGCACCCCAGAACTAAGCAACTAAGTACTAGATCTTTGTACTGATGATCCCTGATCCCTGGAATGTCTTCTGATTGGAAGAATGTGAGTTGCTTTGAATTAAAGATTGTGCAAATATACATGTTTCAATGACAACAACAACAACAACAACAACAACAACAACAATAATAATAATAATAAGAAGAAGAAGAATCAGCAATTATACATTAAAGCAGTTGTACAGCTTCAGTTTTTTTGTTAAATAACAATTGCAATTCAAACTTTCTCCATCTGGGGTGCTGTATAGCCTTTTTCAGTGTTTTTGAAATATGGCTATGCAAGTATTTGAAGTACAGCTGACCAGTAAATCTTAAACTCACAAATATGCGCTTTGTAAATACTAACAACTATGTATGTAAATTATGTACAGGTAAGCTATGTGTATTTGGACAAGGTGAGATGTCCAACTGATAATCATTTTATTTTTCATGTTCCATAGGCAATTTCAGTAACTTGTGAACAAAGTTTTACAAAATTGATTTATTTGCTTCATTTAAAATAGCTGAATAGTATTATGAGTAAATAATACTATGTATGCAAAAGCTCAAATGGTGCCAAATGGCATTTTTTGAAGTCTTATACAGGGGGTGTACATTTTAATAGCAATAAAATTATGTACATGCTCTGCCACACCATTTAAAATCAGCTGTAAAATGCATTAAGGGAAATTCCACAGTCCCAAGGTGAGACACGCACATGCACCCACTCATACACATGCAGTGTATGTATTATATTATTGTTCTTTGCTCTAAAACTAAAAACACTTGTTCTTTTTAGACATATCCAACCTTTATTATATTTATGGAAAAAATAATTTCCGTTCAGTGTGAATGTTTCATCCATCTCTCCCTGGTAGTATATATCAAGAACAAATTCCTTTAGTTGAGCCCAAAATGTAATTTAATGAAGGTAGTTGAGATTTTGTGTCTAGGACAATGAAAGGTCTTGCAGCTGAAAAAAGTAGGTAGAGAGAAATACTGTAGTGGTTGAGCCCAGCCAGCCTTGGCATAGTTGTGAAGTGGGAAGAGAGAAAACTGTCCCAAATCCATAATTACAACGAAGAGTTCAGTGTGCTGATAACCCCCCTCAATGACCCCAGCAGAGTGCTCTTCCTTAGGGTGAGACTACACTTAACCTTAAGACCTTGCTAACCTGGAGGTTTGGGCCAGAAATTGTTACAGAGAAGCTGCTAGGAAGTGTTGTCATGGAAACATGACAGACAGATATCAAACAACATGCTAGTTTCTCCAGTGATTTCATAAAGCATCTTAAATACTATAAATCGCTTGTAGTTGCATATCCCCTGTATCCTCATATAAAATAATAAAAGTATACTTTTTAAATATCAGTTCAGTTTAGACTACTCAATGAGGGTCACATAACAAAGAAAAAAAATCTCAAAAAGCAAAAAAGTATAATATTGTAAACATAAAAAAGGAATAATAACACAGCTTTCGATGGCATTTATATGTTAATGCAAGCAATATATTTTAGTGTATTGCAAACATGCAAAAACTTAATAAAA